TGACAACTGGACCAATAAGCAACATCATGATAAATGGAGAAAAGAATGAAGTTGTCAAGGATTTCATTTTACTTGGATCCACAATCAACGCCCATGGAAGCAGCAGTCAAGAAATCAAAGGATGCACTGCATCGGGCAAATCTGCTGCAAAAGACGACTTTAAGGACCAAGGTGCGCCTGACCCAAGCCATGGTGTTTTCAATCGCCTCATATGCACATGAGAGCTGGACAATGAATAAGGAAGACCGCAGAAGAATGAATGCCTTTGAGTTATGGTATTGGTGAAGAATTTTGAATATACCATGGACTGCCAAAATAATGAACAAATCTGTCTTGGAAGAAATACAGCCAGAATGTCCCTTAGAAAGGAGGATGGCAAGACTTCGTCTTACATACTTTGGACGTGTTATCAAGGAGGGACTAGTCCCTGGAGGACATCTTGCTTGGTAAAGTAGAGGGTCAGCAAAAACGAGAAAGACCCTCAACAAGATGGACTGACACAGTGGCAGCAACAATGGGCTCAAGCATAACAATGACTGTGAGAACTGCGCAGGACCAGGCAGCATCTCATTCTGTTGTACATAGGGTAGCTGTGAGTTGGAACCAATTCAGTGGCACCTAATAATAACTTTTTTCTTTCCACTTGGGAATTTATTTTACTCTCAGAATACTAAAACCAAACCTATTGCCATTGACTCAATTCCAACTCACAGCAACTCTATAGGACAGAGTAGAACTGCCCCATAGGGTTCCGAAGGCTGTGATCTTTACACAAGCCAACTGCTGCATCTTTCTCCTGCCCTTAAAGCGGCTTGTGAGTTCAAACTGCTGACCTTTTAGTTAGCAGCAGAGCACTTAACCCCTGCTCCACCAGGGCTCCTCCACTCTCAGAATAGTCAGAAATAATTACAAGAACAGATTTTTTTTTTAGCTAAGCCCTGTTCACTTTACTGGGAAATTATTACTTCTCTCTAGTTTCTAAAGAACTTACTATTTGAATTGCTACTGTATACATATACTATTTTCTTGTAAAAACTTTATGAAAGGTAAGGAGGGATTTTGTCTTAGATTGTCTTTACTTACTATTGTATCTAGTAAAGGTGGGTGTCATGGATTGAACTGTGTCCCCCCAAAATGTGTCAACTTGGTTAGGCCATGATTCCCAGTATTGTACAGTCATCCTCCATTTTGTGATTGATATAATTTTCCTATGTGTTGTAAATCCTAATCTCTCCATGTGGCTAATGAGGCAAGATTAGATTATGTTAAAGAGGATTAGGGTGGGATATAACACCCTTGCTCAGGTCATATCCCTGATCCAATGTAAAGGGAGTTTCCCTGGGGTGTGGCCTGCGCTACCTTTTATCTTACAAGAGATAAAAGGAAAGGGAAGAGAGTAGAGAGTTGGGGACCTCACATCACCAAGAAAGCAGTGCCAGGAGCAGAGCGTGTCCTTTGGACTCAGGGTTCCTGTGCTAAGAAGCTCCTAGTCCAGGGGAAGACTGACGAGAAGGACCTTCCTCCAGAGCTGACAGAGAGAAAGCCTTCCCCTGGGGCTGACACCCTGAATTTGGACTTCTAGCCTACCGGACTGTGAGAAAATAAATTTCTCTTTGCTAAAGCCATCCACTTGTGGTATTTCTGTTATAGCAGCACTAGATAACTAAGACAGTAGGTGAGGATAAGGATACAACCATTTATTGAGTACCTACTATGTGTCCAGCACTGTGTCATCACTTTACATAGCCCTTCCTGTGAAGTAGGTATTATTCCTATTTTACAGAAATGAAGGTTTGGCAATTTAGTAACCTGCCTAAAAGTCACACAGCTAGAAAACAGCCTAGCCAGAAAATGAGGTGTGACTCAAAGTACCATGCTTGTGATTCCTATGTACAGATAATATTTAATTAATAAATATATTATTTAGTTCAGTGAAGAAACAAAAAAAAAAATGGATTTAGGGTTAAAAAGCCAAAGTTCAAATCCTAACTCTACTGGCTATATAACCTTGATTATATTTTCTCATAGTTTAGGAGGCTAGAAGTCCAAATTCAGGGTGCCGGCTCTAGGGGAAAGCTTTCTCCCTCTGTTGGCTCTTTAGGAAGGTCCTTGTCTTTTCTGAGCTTCTGCTCCTGGGCATCATGTGGCTTGGCATTGCTCTTCCCCCATCTCTGCTTGCTAGCTTCCGTTTAATCTCTTTTGTATCTCAAAAGCGAGTGATTCAAGATACACCCTACACTGATCCTGTCTCATTAATATAACAAAGACAACCCATTCCCAAATGGGACTATAAAAAAATTCCGATTCATAGCGACCCTATAAGACAGAGTAGAACTGTCTCATAGTGTTTCCAAGGAGTGCCTGGTGGATTTGAACTACTGATGTTTTGGTTAGCAGCCATAGCTCTTAACCACTACACATCCAGGGTTTCCAGTGGGACTATAACCACCGGCATACGGGTCAGGATTTACAACATACATATTGAGAGGACACAATCCAATCCATAACAAGATGTATAACCTTTCTGATATGGTTCCATCTTCTCAAAACATTAAGATAATCATACCTGTTTTACAGAGTTGTTAGGAGGATCAAAATATGAAAGTTCTTTTGAAACTAAAACATTAATAAATGAAAGATATTATCATTACTTGCTAAGTTACAACACTTTACTTGGAGTGGGAGGTGGGTCAGAAATATTTTTTCTCTGAAGTATCAAAAGCAGCTTAATTTCAGAAGCTGGGAGGCAATATGTTTAATGGTTATGACCACAGGCATCATAATCAGATCGACACCAGGTTGTACCTCAGCTCCTGATACTTGTTGCCTGTATCTTTGGCAGGCTACAATCTTTAAACCTGGGATCTTTATCTGTAGGATGTGCAAAATAATAGTCCCTATCTCATATCCTTGCGGAGAGGATTAACCGAGCTAATGCATGTAAATAGCTTAGCACGCTGCCTGGCAAAATTTTATTATAGCACTCAGTTATGAACAGCTTCTCCAGCTGTCAATGGCCACTGACAGTGGGGCATGAAGCACTGCGGACACTACAAATGCCTTAGGGGACCCAGTCCCGAAAGAGCCAAGTTCAAGGATAGCACAGGTGACACGCCCTCAGCTGGAGCTCGAGGTAGAAGGGTCAGCGCAAGGCTGGCAGAAGAGAAAATTCTTCTCATCCCCGCCCTGGGAAAACAAAGGACTGGTCAGAGAGCTGCTCCAGAGCGCCCGCGGCCCGCTTCAGCCTCGCCTGGCCGCGGCTGGAGGTGGCTGAGCCGTCTACTCACAGTTCCAAGCTCTGTGGCGCCGCCTTTCGAGTGTATCTGGATATCATCCTCCTCTGCTTCTTCAGCCGCAGCCGGGGCGGGCACGCCAGGGCGGGGACCTCCGGGCCTGGCCCTCCAGCCGGCTCCGGCCCGGCCTCCTCCCTCCACCTTCCGGTTCCGTCTCGCCCCGTCGCCTAGACTCCGGACTGTCACCGCCCCCTGCCAAGACCGCCCCCTTTCCAGTTCTCCGCCCCCCCCGTCTTCCCGAGGGAGCGGAAGTGACGGAGGCATCAGGGCACCTGCCAAATGCTCCCGCCGATGTGCGGTAGTGACAGGCTTGGGGGTTCCGGGGGCTGAAAGGGTTTCTGACTTTCTTCTAGGGCCTCCTCTGGCCTCAGATCCTAGGCGAGCTTTGAGACGGAGATTGGACCAGGCTTTGGCGGCTAGTGGCGCCGCAAAACTCCGAATTCCCCGTAGCAACTCCTGAACGGTGTTGTCACGCAGTGGGAGGAGCGGCGGAGGAAAGGTGCATCAACAGAGAGACACCGGAGAGGGCCTAGAGCCGTAAGACAAATTTAACTTCGTTTTGTCAGGTGGCAGGAGGGATCCTCCTGGTTCTGGCAGAAAGCCCTGAACTCTAAATCAGGCCCCTGCTGCTTATCGCCTTCCCTTTCTTTGCTTCCGGTTTTCTCATCTGTACAGTGAGGAGCTAGTCTGGGTGGTCTCAAAGTCCGTTCCCGTTCTGACGCTGTAAGTTTTGTATAATAAGGTGCACTTGGCGTAAGGGGGTAGGGATAAGGTGGGTAGAATTATTATCTGTCCCTCTTAGTTGAAAGGAAAAATGATTTGGACAGCCTATGTTCAGTGGGTGTCTGGATAGAAGATGCAGGTTGCTCTCGACCTCGTCTGATTAGTCAGTAATGCAAAAGCATTGAATCATGGCATTAGGGTGGTCCATCCAGTGTAGTGCCTTCCTTTAACAAGCATCACACCTTGAAAATAAGGAGTGTTACCACTTTCACCTAATTCGTGATGGAGTGCATTTGTGAATTTTTCTAACTACACTTTGAAGCTATATTTTCACTCTACCACTTTGGGAAATAATGAATTCTAGAGGTGTGTTAGTACGTTCATTTGTAACCAAAACCTTAGAAAATAGGTATGTACCACCTCTTGCATCCACCACTAATGCCAAAGATGAAGAAATTGAAGTTTTTTACTAACTTCTGCAGTCTGAAATTGATCAAACATGCGATCAAGATGCATTGATAATTACTGATGATTGGAATGCAAAAGTTGGAAACCAAAAAGAAGGATTAGTAGTTGGAAAATATGCCCTAGGTGATAGAAAGGATGCTGGAGATCACATGATAGAATTTTTCAAGAGCAATGAGTTTTCATTGCAAATGTCTTTTTTCAACAATATAAATGGCGACTATACATGTGGACCTTGCCGGATGGAATGCCCAGGAATCAAATAGACTACATCTTCAGAAAGAGGTGATAAAGAAGCTCAATATCATCAGTCAGAACAAGGCCAGGGGCCAATTTCGGAACAGATCATCAGTTGCTCATATGCAAGTTCAAGTTGAAGCTGAAGAAAATTAAAACAAGTCGACGAGAACTAAAGTACAATCTTGAGTATATCCCACCTGAATTTAGACACCGTCTCAACAGTAGATTTGACGCATTGCACACTAACGACCAAAGATCAGATGAGATGTAGGGTAACATCCAGGACATCATACATGAAGAAAGCAAAAAACCAAACCAAACCTGTTGCCATCAAGTCAATTCCAACTCATAGCGATCCTATAGGACAGAGTAGAACTGTCCTATAAGGCCTTTTGGTTAGCAGCCAATCTCTTAACCACTGCGCTACCAGGGCTCCTGAAGAAAGCAAAAGGTCGTTAAAAAGACAAGAAAGAAAAGACCAAAATGGATGTCAGAAGAGACTCTGAAACTTGCTGTTCAATATAGAGTAGCTGAAGCGAATGGAAGAAATGATCACGTAAAAGAGCTGAACAGAAGACTTCAAAGGGCAGCTCAAGAAGATAAAGTATTATAATGAAATGCACAAAGACCTGGAGTTTGAAAACCCAAAAGGGAAGAACATGCTTGGCATTTCTCAAGGTGAAAGAACTGAAGAAAAGATTCAAGCCTGGAGTGGCAATATTGAAGGACTCTATGGGCAAAATATAGAACGACGTGGTAAGCATCAAAATAAGATAAAAGAAATACACGGTCACTGTACTAAAAAGAATTGGTCGACGTTCAGCCATTTCAGGAGGTAGCATATGGTCAAGAACCGATGGTATTGAAGGAAGAAGTCCAAGCTGCACTGAAGGCATTGGCAAAAAACAAGGCTGCAGGAATTTATGAAATACCAATTGAGATGTTTCAATAATCATGCAATGCTGGAAGCGCTCACTTGTCTATGCCAAGAAATTTGGAAGACAGCTACCTGGCAACAGATTGGAAGAGTTTCGTATTTGTGCCCATTCCATCAAAAAGTGATCTAACAGAATGTGGAAATTATCAAACAATATCTTTGATACCATATGCAAGTAAAATTTTGCTGAAGATAATTCAAACACTGTTGCAGCGGTATATCGACAGGGAACTGCCAGAAGTTCAAGCTGGATTCAGAAGAGGATGCAGAATGAGGGATATCACTGCTGATGTCAGATGAATCTTGGCTAAAGCAGAGAATACCAGAAAGATGTTTACCTGTGTTTTATTGACTATGCAAAGACATTTGTCTGTGTGTGTCATAACAAATTATGGATAACATTGGGAAGAATGAGAATTCCAGAACACTTTATTGTACAGATGCAGAACCTGAACACAGACCAAGAGACAGTTGTTTGAACCAAACAAGGGATATTGTGTGGTTTAAGATCAGGAAGGGTGTGCGTCAAGGTTGTATCCTTTCACCATCCTTATTCAGTCTATATGCTAAGCAAATAAACCAAGAAGCTGGGCTGTATGAAGAAGAACGGGGCATCAGGATTGGAAGAAGACTCATTAACAACCTGCAATATGCAGGTGACACAGCCTTGCTTGCTGAAAATGAAGAGGACTTGAAGCACTCACTGATGAAGATCAAAGACTACAGCCTTCAGGATGGATTACAACTCCACATAAAGAAAACCAAAATCCTTACAACTGGACCAGTAAGCAACATCATGATAAATGGAGAAAAGATTGAAGTTGTCAAGAATTTCATTTTACTTGGATCCGCAAATAACGCCATGGAAGCAGCAGTCACGAAATCAAATGATGTATTGCATTGGGCAAATTTGCTGCAAAAGATCTCCATAGCACCTAACAACAACAACACCGACCTCTCAGTATACTAGAGCTATACCTCTGAGACTTGAAAAAGCGGTAAATTTAGGACAGATAGTTGTAGAATCAAGAGCCATGGGAAAATTGTATTCTCTTTGAAGAACAACAGGGGAGAACCCTTATTTTGGGATGAGATGATAGGACAATGAATGTTTTGTAGTTTTGAATTCTCCTATGCCACATAATGCTTTTAAAAGGGAGATATTTTAATCATGTGGAACCAAAGGAGATTGCTATTAAGAGCTTTTAAGTTATAAAATTTTAAAACCAGGGAGGGATTTTAGAGATGGTAGAGTAACACCCTTATTCTATAATGGAGGAAAAGCCCCAGAAAGAGAAAGTGAAGAGCCCATAGTGACACAACTACTCGGTGGCAGAACTGGAACTTTTGATAGTACTTAAAAAGT